ATATTAGTCTAGTCTCTTAAGTTCAATTTCAGCATATGTAAAGATGGGGACAGCTACCACGAAGAGAATGAGAAATGCGATAGTAGTTATTATTCTCTTTCCCAATGTTAGATCTTGAGACCTAAAATGCCTTCATCATCCTGTAATGATTTGATTAGTTCTATAAGATGCAATATGTATATAATCTGGTGAAGATGGGGACAACTATTTGTAGGAAACTAGAGACAGTTAGATAGACAGTGAAGATTTCCAGTGGACTTGCTTTGAAATCTGTATTTCTTTAAATTGTTTTTTTAACTGTTTTGTTCTGTTTTGATATGTTTCATCTTACCCTCTTTGAGATGTAAAACAAGTGTGTAGGACTGATAACCATATTACTGAGTTTTTGTTCGATCATTGAGCAAAACTGTTTGCAGTGTCACTTTTTGAATGTCATTTTAAATACTTTAATTTTGTAACCTGAACAGCTATTTCTAAGATGATAATATGTAACTTATCAACCAGCAATTTCATATAGTTTATTTTTCTGTAATTTTGTATTATTTCTACGCTTTTTATCTCCATGTATTTTTTGTTTCCTTTTCTTTAAATAAAAAAAGTTTTTGTTTATATTATCACATATAATAAAATCCAACAAGATGCAACATGTTAAGACCTATGGAGACACAAAACCAAAAGCTTGATGGAACTTCAAAACAAGATGATATCAAATCAGCATTACCTATTATGATGTTGTTTTCTCCAAAATAGCTGTTCCCACCATCCAATCTTCTTTGCCTCATTTCTGATGAGCTCTTTTTCTGTCATTAGTTGTCAGTTTGTCTTCATTTTGTTTTCTGCTCCATTCTTATGGCCTCTCTGCCACTGTTTCTGGAATCTTGGTATTTTTCTTTTTTAGAATATCCTGCAGTATTCTCTGTAGAGTTGAATTGGTGGTTGCAAATACCCATAATTTCTCTTTATCCTGGAAGCACCTTGTTTTTCCATCAATTTCCAGGGATAGTTGTGCAGGATATATCAATCTTGGCTGGAGGTTATTATCTTTCAAAGTTTGAATTATTTCCCCCCACGCTCTTTGTGATTTGATGGTTTGTGCCGAGAAGTCTGCTGTAATTCTGTAATTCTGATGGGTGTTCCCTTGTAAGTGATCTGTTTCTTGTTTCTTATGGCTTTTAATATTCTTTTCTTATATTGGATTTCTGGAATTTTGACTATTATATGCCTAGATGTAACTCTGTTTTGGTTGTAGATGGCTGGGGTCCTGTATGCCTCATACATCTGAGTATTTTACCTTTTGCTAAATTAGGGAAATTCTCCTGGATTATTTCTGTGAATAACTTTTGTAGTTCATTTGTTTGTGACCCTACCTCTTCTTCTATGTTCTTGATTCTTAAGTTATAGATCCTCTTATCATCTTCTAGCCTTTGTATTATTGCTGTTTGTTTCTTTGTTATTTTTAAGAAGTTTTTCATTTCATGCTCCCACTTTACAAATCTGTCCTCCAGTTCAGATAATCTGTCCTTAGTTTCTTTCAAGCTCTTATGCCAGGTTTCAACAGAGTTTTTAGTTTCCTGGTAATCTCTTTGAATCTGCTTCATGTATTCTATGTTTTCTCTATTTTCTCCATCAAATAATTCTCCCCTTTTTTCTGTTCTTCCTATTCACCATATTTTTTTTTCTTGGGCAGTGCTTAGTATTTCCCTAACTATTCTACTTATGTCTTGCTTTATTTCATTAAATACTTCACTTTTAAACTCATCTATGAGGCTCTGGAGATATCACTTTATGTCTATTGGTGCCATGCCTGATATTGCATGTTTTCTGTCCTCATTTTCCTTTGTATTTACCTTTCCTGGATCAATGTTCTCAGGATTGGGGGCCAAGGACTCCTTCTTGTTACTCCCTCTTCCCATATTTTTGTTTCTTCCATACAAGTGTAAATAGGAGGCCCAATTTTTTTTTTCTTTGTCAGTTACAGTTTGTTTGAATCTGCTGGCTAGGGATTCCCACCCACTGTAGTATACTAAGGAGACACAGACCTGGGCAGCCTCTGCTGGGCCCGCCCCTCTAGGTTAACCAACCTACTGAAGAATTTACTGCTAGGGTGCACTGCCAGACACTGGGCCCTGGTTTGGGCTAGCCTGCTGGGTCTTAGTCTACAGCCTCACCCAGGCCAGGCACTCCCCACCAATCCCACTTGAGAGGGGAATATGTGACTGAAGTTACTGCAGCATCCTGTACTGGCTAGTCTGCCTGGTCCCAGAATGTCCTCTGTTGGAGCCTCCTGGACCATAGAAGAGTCCCCATTTCCCTCACTCACCACAGGTTGATGCACGGCTCTCCACCCATCCCGCTCTCAACTCTGTTCACCGATTCCTGTTCTCAGAGCTTTCACACATCTCTCTCCCTGCCAGGCTGATTCAGATGCAGCAGCAGCAGCAGGAACCCCAAATTGCGGCTTCCAATGGCTCGGGCTCCAGCTTCCATAATGAGGCTTTATCTGTTCCTGTTATAGCACCAGGACTGCATTCCCAGTTGGTTTCTCTCAGCCCAGTTCATTCTTGGGTCAGCAGGATATATCTCCTCTTGCTTAGGACTCGTCACTTTGCACCATTCCTGGATTCTAGGCTAGGTCTTTCAGAGATCCTCCATAGCTGCTGCTATCTGTCCACCTTGTTCTCCCAGAAGTCTGCATCTTCATCTTTCTGTCCTGTTTAATTGTCTGCTTTGTTTAGTGATTTTTTTTCCTAAATGTATCTAGGCTGTCTTTCAGTATTCTTTGGACAGTTGGCTGGTGATCATGTAGTTTTTCAGCTGTTCTTTGTCATGGAAGTATCTTATTTCTCCATCCATTTTGAAGGACAGTTTTGCAGAGTACATCCATCTAGGTTGGAAATCATTTTCCTTTATGATCTGAAATACTTCACTCCATGCTCTTCTTCACTTTATTGTTTGTGCTGAGAAGTCTGCTGTGATTCTGATAGGTTTTCCCTTATAAATGATGTCTTTTCTCTCTGTCAGCTTTTAATATTCTATTCTTTTGCTTGATTTGTGGGATGGCCATTATTATGTGTCCGGATGTAGTTTTATTTTGGTTATCGCTATTTGCAGTTCTATATGCTTCATTGATCTTGATATCTGTTTCCAATCTCATTTTGGAAATTTTCAGCTGTTACTTCTCTAAATATCCTCTTGACATCCTTTATGTTGTCCCCTTGTATTTCATTTATCCCTATCAACCATATGTTGTTCCTCTTTGCATCATCTTGCAGATGTTGAATTGTTATTTCCTGATTTCTTGTTATTTTTAAAAGATCTTTCCTTTCCTGTTCACTGGCTGCAATCTTGTCTTTGAGATCTGAAATTCTATCTTCACATTCATTGAGCTGGTTTTTACAACTTTCGGTGGAGTTTTTGATTTCCTGTATATCTCTTTGCATCTGCTTTATATATTGTTTGTTTCTTATATTGTTCATCCAGGGATTCTATCTTTTTGTTTATCTCCTCCAATTTTTTTAACTGTGTCTTCTTTAGATATGTTCAGCATCTCCTTCATTTCTTTTATCATTTCTTCTTTTACCTGAGAGATTATTTCTAATTTGAATTCCTTTAAGGTTTCCCAGAGTTGCTTCTTTATTTCAGTTACTATTATTTCAGGTATTTCAGGTATGTGGCATATATTTTCTTCTATGCACATGGCTCATAAGCTTTCTTGGGATGGGCTGGATGTTTGAGATTGCATTTTGGTCTTTTGTTTTGTCATTTTCCTGTATTTTCCAGCTTCAAGTATTGTTCCAAGTAAGGGAGAGAGGTAAGCCAGGCTGGGATGGGTTCTGTGCTTGGCCGGACTCACTGTTCCCAGCAGGAAGCCGTGGTCTGTACCCCAGACAAGGGAGAGGTTCTGCCAGGCTGGGACAGGATTCCCTGCCCCCTGCTCTCTCACTGATCCTGACAGGAAGCTACGGCCTGTCCCCCAGGCAAGGAAGAGAGTTTCGCCGGACTGGGGCAGGATTCCTCGCCTTGGCTGGACTTACTGGTCCTGACAGGAAGCTGTGGCCTGGCCCCCAGGCAAGGAAGAGAGTTTCGCCGGACTGGGGTGGGATTCCGTGCTTCCATTGCACTTACTCCTCCCAACAGGAATTTATCTAACATTGTTAATGCTTGTTTTTAATAGTTTTCTTTATTGGATTTGTCTGAAAGATGGCTGTTTTATTGACATTTTCATAGACATGGATCTGCAGATCAGTTCGGATTTATTTGACATATGATTTATGTTCTTACTCTGCAATCTTGAGAGCTTAATTCTCAATTATATTATATATTTTTCCTTCCTTTTCACCTTGTATTAAAGTGAAGACTTCCTTTACTTACTCATTTTCTTCCCTTTTTATTGTCTGAAAGCACAGTTTTTAATATTATGGTCTGAAGGTGCATCTGTTTTCCCACAGATGATTCAAATTTATCTTTCTTTATGCCTCAGTAACACACTATTGTAAATGCCACATTTTCTTCATCCATTAATCTGTACTAAAACGTGCACCAATATATAGACATATAGACTGGGCCTAAGATTTCCTTATTTGTGAATTTTGTTGCTATAAACGTGGGTATGCACGTATCTCTGTAATATGATGTTCAAGACACCCAAAGTAAAAACAAAATCAAAATAAAAGAGAGACTACAGAAAGTAAGAAGATAGATCTTTCTAAAATCAGGGGTCAAGAATTAAAAAGAGGGGATGGGAAAAAGAATTCTTCCCCATCCCCTCCTTTGGGGGGCTGGGGGGACGGTGGGATTAGAATTCATGTGTGTAAGCAAAATCTAACAAACTGGATTTCACTTCTGTCAGATCATGTAATCTACCAAGTCAGAGTTTTATAACTGATAAAAAGATCACTCTCTCTTAGATATTTCAGTAACTGATTATCATGATAAACTTCCTTGGTTGTCAAATATCAGAACTAATTTATATTTTTAAAAACTCTACCAGCAAACATATTAGCGTGAAATAATAAAGTTTTATTGAAATAATAAGTTTTATTGTCTTCTATTTCCCCAATCTATTATTTCATTGTAGTGAAATAATAAAGTTTTATTGTCCTCTATTTTCTCAACATAACAAATTAACATTGTGCTTTTTTTTCTACCACTACATCCACTTAGTGCAGGGTACATGATGATCACACATACACACACAAACACACACACACACACTCACACACACACACACACACACACACACAAATGATGTCAATACGGGAAATTTATAGTCTTTTTTTTTCTTTCTGCAAATCAGGAAACACAGAAGTGTTTTTCCAGATCAAATAATCAGTTGACTGGATCCAGGCAAGATAAAGCCAGAAGTGAGATCCAGGTTGGACTAGGGACAAAACTGAATTCCTTTCTTTACATTGACCTTAATTCAACTTCTGCAGCAGGTGCAGAAGAGTTGGTGGCTAAGTCAATGGTCTGGGTTGAATCGTCCCTGAGGGCTCTCTCCAGACTGGTTGGGAGGGATTGCATCAATCGCTTTCGGAAGTCCCGGCCCACAAAAACATAGAGCATTGGGTTTATACAGCTGTTGAAGAAGGCCAGGGACATTGTTGGGTAGATTAGAGGACTAAGCATGTTGTATTTAGATGGCTCTTTCAGCCAGACAGTTCTTAGGAGTCCAACCAATTGAAAGGGGAACCAACAAATGAAAAAGGAAGCCACAACAGCAGTGAGGACCCGAAAGGGACGGCTGGAATTCATCATGCCTTTTCTGTGAATTTTGGCCGCAATGAGCCCATAGCAGATGATGACCATGGACATGGGCATGCTGAAGCCAATAACTAACCGGATGATCCCTCTGACCATATTAACTACAGTGATCACCTTTCTCCTCTCTTCATCGGTTGATCCCCAGAACATGTTACACCGTATTTTCTCATCAAGTTCACCTGTCTTGACGAAGATGAAAACTGGCAAAGTCAGGACGAGGGCAAGGATCCAGATTCCAGCAATAACTTTCTTGGCCAGGCTGACAGTTCGGTGGTTCTGGACCCAGATTGGATGCAAGACACAAATACAGCGATCCAGAGCAATATGACCAATTATAAAGACACTTGCATAAAGGTTTATGTCTGCCACAATGTAAACTAACTTACACAGGAACAAGCCGAAAATCTATTGTCCCAAGGCCATGGAGACAATTTGGAAAGGTAAGGTAACACTGAAGGAGAAGTCAGCTAAGGCCAAGTTCAAATAGCAGATGGTGGTGACTGTGCGTTTCATCCGGAACCCAGCCACCCAGATCACCAGCCCATTGCCCAGTACACCAAGGACAAAGGTGACTGGGAGTATCACCAATGGGAGGATCCACAAAACAGTGTTGCCAGTTGACTGAGAATGCATCGTGTCAGATACATTTAGAGGGCTGGTGACATTGGCTTCCATCTTGTCTATACCTGAAACATTTCAGAAAAAGGACATTTTTTAAAGTGGAATCAACTCAAAGCCTCCTTATTCACTCACCAGTACAGCTTCCACTCCGACCGTGGGACCCAACTTGCCAAGTTTGGTGGCTAGAAATACCATGAAATTGGAAACTTTCTTGGATTTTTTGGGAAAGGATGGTTACCATATTGTCACAAACATTAGCATGCATCAGCCTCTCAGGCAGATTACTTTACCAAAATTATAAGCTTCTACACACCAGCAGAAATGCTGAACTGAGAATGCATAGACAGCAAAATACAGAACAAAATCAGATTCAAATAGTGAGGAGAGCACTGGACTCAGCCTCTTCAGGTTCAAATCTTTTTACTCAGAGGTTCATAAAAAAGGTCAGAAAACTACATAGTTTTAGTCAGTCCCAAATTTTTGTAGTATCCTGACTCTTATCTCTAGTGTGAAAGCTCTGAACCTAGTGAGAGGTTAGTATTTCAGTTTGTTTATGGGTTTGCTTAGAGTTTTTAAGCAAAAAGAAGTCAAACAGTCCCTGAACTCTTAGGTAATACATCACAAGCACCTGATTTTCTGTACTTCCAATCCAATGTGTTTTATATCACTACTTGATATTATCTCTGGGAAATAAAGAATTTGTATAGCTTTAATGTTCTGTGTGATAAAGAGTTTAAGAAAAGTAAATTTTGTTAATATCTGTGGGACTCTCATCAGATACATGCAGTGGCTGACTGCTCCACATGGGAAACAATTTGATCTATGTAATTGATCTGTAGTGATCACCATGTCTGCTTTCTGTAAGAATTAATTGATTGTCAGAACAGTTGGGAAGCCTGAGGAAGGTCGCTTTAATAGTAAAAGCTAGAGGAGTCATGTCAGTCTGCTTGATCTGGACATAGTAAATACTGAGGACTCCTTCATACTGAATCATTATAATAATATTCTAAGGCAGGACGAACATTTCTTTTTACCAGGCAGAAATCATACTCCAGGGGATTTACTGGAGTTTTCAACATCACATCCAGCCAGTCCATTGAGGCAGCAAGACTTAAAAAGCAGAAATAATCAATTCCAGAGTTACCACTCTACAAGGCTGCCTTTGAAAAAAGGGGCTCCCTCAGGACTGCCTGGGCATGATTGATCCCTGATGTAATGACTTTCCCCATTCTTTTCTCACTCCTTCTTTTTCTTTTCTTACCTTTTTGCTTTCACTGAGGTCTTCTATGAGACATAGTGGATGCAGAACAGGGTTAATGGACCTGGGCAACATTGACTTCAGAGCTTGGACACTTTGTTATGAGAACTGCCCTCTACATTGTTGAATGGTTAGGTGCAAGTATACTTCCCACAAGATGTCAGTAGTAACCCCACTTAAGTTATGACAACTGTCATGGTTTATGTTGGTGGCCCCTAGGCCTCATGAGTTTGCATTGTACATTTGTGATTGGCTCATTGTCTAGTGCTTGGATTGATGGTATCAGTGCTACACCCACATATAGGTGGAGCCAGGATGTAATATAATGGCAGGAATAAGATGTGTCTGACTCTCTTGCTGGTTTCTGCCTTGCTGTTTGCAGCCACCATGAACTGCAACCCAGCCATGCCAGCCTGCCTTGGAGCCAACTGATTATGGACTGAAACCTCCAAACCCTGTAAGAAACAAAACTTTCCTTTCCCAACTTTAGGCTTCAGGTATTTTGTCTCAGCGAGTAAAAAGTAACTAAGACAACAACGTTTTCCTTGGGATGCAAAATCGTTCCCAGCTGAGAGTTAGTGTTTTAGTGTTAAGATTGCTGTTGGTTAATGAGTATTCTAATTCCATCTCTGACACCTCCACAGTGTGAGATCTTGGGTCAAGTCATCTCTCGGAACTGCAGAATGGCAATGGTTTTGTGGTAAAAGCTGACACACAGGCAAGGACTAAGGGAGAATAGATGTGAAAATCTTGGATAGATCATGTGAGATTTTAGCAAATGGAAACTTATGTCTTCACCAGAAGACATCTGGGATAAGCATTGTAGAACTTCAAGGTCAGTTGAGAAGAATGCTCCTGACAGTTGTAACTGCTGTTTATGAACATTATCCACACTGAATATCTTCCTTTACTATTTACAGCTTTTCTCCATAGCTCCTAAAGATTGTGTGTTCCTATGTAGAAAGCACTGAACAGGAGATATTCTGAATGTGGAATAATGCTATACCTAATATAACCATTGTAGAGATGAGGAAGTTAAGACTTAGATTAGTTACATTAATTGTCTGAATCTCCCAGTTAGAAAGTGGAAGATCCACAATTTGAGATCAGTTTCACTTATTCCATTTGAATTAACACCTTCCTACCCCGTATTTTCAGAAGGGACACATATGTACTACCATCTAAACAACCTGCAAGGCACTTAGAAGATGGTGTACTCAGCAACCTGTAAATTACTCATTTTAAAATGCTAACACAGCACTGCAGGCAATAAGAGATGGGACCATGCTGTGAAGGAGGTATTGAAAAATATTAGGTCCACATTAGTTGCAAGGCTGGGAGAGAGCTGTGAGCTTCAGGGTTCATCTGTATGGATCACAATGACCCCCTCTCTGATGAGACCCCAGTGTGTGCCTGTCATCTCTAATTACAATCTCCTCACTTTGAGGCCAAACATCACCATCGTGTGAAACAAGATAAAACCAGAGAGGCTCAGATAATTAAAGTAATCTAGTGTCGCCAGTGCAGCATGCAATTAAATTTCAGAGTCGTATATTTGAAACGTAAACCCAGCACTTATTGTGTATCCACTCTGCGATTAGTATAATCACTTCCCCAACTTTAAAAATGACTTTCGGTGCTTCTGCTTTCTTCCTAAATTCATTACTTCCTCCACAAGTCACTCATTTGAGTTATGCACTTGACTGACACTTCACTAAGAAAATGATAGCAATTAGATGTGAATTTTTTTTCTCCTTCCCTCCCCAAATGCTCCAATCTACTTGTATATGTTACTGTGGGTGAAGAGTTTGTGTTCATCCTGAAAGTTGCTTTCATAATTTGCCCTTGATCCTTCTCTCACTTACTTCTCAAAAAAGTCTGCATTCAGCAACTTTTTCTTTTTCACTAAAAAAACTCTGCAAGCTAGGTCATTTTCACTGTAAACATTACAATACCAAACCTGTTGGTGTCCACAAGAGCTCTCTTAAGTTTCTGAGGTAAAGAACAATGAGAGGATGAAAAAAATATAGAGAGAGACAGAAAGCTGGCATCAGGTGCAGCCCTTCTCCAGACGGGAAGAAGAGACTGCTCAACTAGTCCAATACATTTATTTATACATCATGCACCTTTGCTTAACTAGCCCACTTGTTACACCCCATGTTCTCCCACGTTCTCAGGCGTGGACATCAGTTCCCCTCCAGCACCCCATGTGTTCAGGGCATTTCTCAGGTGCTCTGTGCCCTTGGGGCACTCCTGTTCAGGCACTTGTGCTTTTGGCTTCACATGTGTAAACTTTCACTAGCTCAGTGACTCCCAACAACCCTCCACTTTAAAAAGATACTGTCCTTGACACTTGTTTCTTCCCAGTTTCAGCTGTACTCTGAACACGTGTTTCAAAGAAGAGGATTGAGACTTTGGAAGAGCTGTTTCTAACAGGTCTATTCATTTTTTTCACCACACATGTTCTAGTGAAAGCACATGGTATGTTCCCTGAGCCATTAGCACCTTACCCAGTATGTCTAGAGGATGCTTAGGGACTGCACGCTGCCACATCCAGTGATTCTTTCCCCATTCTTACCCTGTTATCCCAGGAACAAAGAATCCATCAGATTTCTCCCTTCCCAAGACAGATCTTTCCTTTGAAATGTACATACGGATGTAATTTGTAGATTTTATAGTACAGTTGACCACCCAATTTTCAGGCTAATTTCCTAGCCTCTTTTTGTCTTGATTTGCATTTAAATTTTAGGGTGTGCCATCCTCCAATTATATTCCTTCCACTGGGTATCCAATCCAGTATCATAACTTAAAATATCCCACTCCTGACTCTTGATTTAGATGAGCAGCATTGGCATTGCTCTGGAGCTCTAGCGTAGCTGACTTCCAGACATCTCCCATTTTCTGGAATGTGCCACTCTCTCCATGTTCTTTCTAATTTGAATGTAGATATTCAGTTGTCTAAGTTCCAAACATAGCTACTATCTTCAATCTCCTTTCTTTTCCAGTCTAATTCTAGCATTACCAATCATGAACATATTAAATATACAGTTAGATTTTTTTCCTACCCCACTATACTTTTGCATGGCTCTTCATATTTTTTTCAGTTCCTCATAGATGCTATCCATTGCCATCTTAAGGACAGTGTATTCTTTTTTTGCTTATGTTCACCATGCTCTTTCTTTTGAACTTCTCTCACCTGGATCTTTCTGAATGTTCGTATTTTAGTTTAAATATTATGTCTCCAAAGTCCAGTCTGACCCAGCCACAATTTGTCTCACTAGATAGTTTCCTTGCATATTTGTTCTTTCATTTATTTTCTGCCTCTAAGACCTTGTGTTCTAGTTTTTGGATCCATGGGACTAGAAAGTTCACTCAGTGCTCTGTCCCTAGAGTCATGCCATGCAAAAGAAATTTGACATGAGCCACACATGTCTTACTAGCTTATAGTACTAATTTTGAAAGAACAGTTTATAAATTCTGGAAAAATGACTTTTAATGATATATTTTACTTACCTACATATCAGAAAGAATATCATTGGAATGTTACCAAAATAAAAACACAGTCGTGGTGGTGCATGCCTGTTACCACAGCTACTAAAGTGACCAAGGCAAAAAGATGTGTTTCAGACCACCAATCTTGGAAAAATTAATATGACTATGTTTCAAAAAATTGAATTAAAATCAAATGAAATGACAGGTATTAATTGAATCACTTACATTCTCTTTCTCATACTTTTCTCTGAATAACCCCAGTAAACTTGCACTCAGTACATTCAGAAAATGCAATAGGCATTTGGGAAAGGTGGTTGGATATTGGACAACTCTCCTTGAGAGGCAAGAAGTGTCTTTCATATAATAGGCATCAAAATCATGATTTTAAATTGGCAGACTGTGACTTACCAGCAGCTGGGATTTTTATCCTGTGGTGGTCTCTTGTCTTCCTGCAGAGATGGAGGCTCTCACTTGCTTTCAACAGAATTCGTAGAAGGAGTGATAGAGGAACAATGAAAACAGAAGCAATAGATAACAGAAACTTGAAATTTTCTGCAATTTCCTATAATAACTGCAACTGCAGACATGTTATTCATAGAAATGTGGGTGTCTGGATGTTCCCTCAGCTGCAACCTTTTGTGGGAGAGAGAGGGCCCGGTCCTGATGTATCAGGGTACAGTCATCAGTGATGTAATCTTCCTTAAGATGATTGCTAGGGTTGATGTCTGAACAACTACTTTGAAGACAACAATGTGCATTATATTAACCAGTGTTAATCTCTTATTGTTTTGGTTTGATATTCTTTATTACCATTTTATTCTTTTTTTTAAAAATGCAACAAGCTGTATCATGCCCACAATGAATATAAAGGTCTTGTGTCATAAACTAAAAATAACAAGAATGAGCATGATTCAAGGGGGATAGAGATGGTTGGAGGGAGGCGAGTGAAAAGGGGAAGATGGTTAAAAGAGAATTGAACTGTGTTATGCACATGCATATACTCCCCTAGATGAATGTAAACTTTATGTACTATAAATATGATCTTATAAAAAAAGATAATTGCTGGTGCTGGAGGTAAAGAAATCATATAGATACTTCTATATTCATCATAATTTTACCAATGTCAACTAAAGAAGAAAAAAGCAAGAATGGTGAGTGGAAGAGAGTTGGAGATGCAGCCTAAGAGGGCCCAGAGTCAGCTGTTACCAGATCATGCACCTTGGTAAGGAGGTGGATGGTGGTGGTTGGCTTCATCTCACTTCCATGGAAGATTCCTGAGTATGATCACATAATGTGATCTCAATAAGCAACCTATTTTTTAGAGTCCCAGGGTGGCCTTTTTGTGCAGCCCCCAACACATGCCCCAGGCTTTCATGGTAGTGTCCAATGAACTTATTAACCTAGGTTGCTAAACCTGAAGCTTAGAGAGAGCATAGACTGACCCTTCTCTTCCTTCTCCAATGAAAGTCTTCAATAAATATTAGTTTAACTATTATGCTCCTTTTTCTGTTATTATTCAGAAATGTGCATATGCCTTATCTCTTCACATGACAAATCCCTGAAGTCAGATAAGTTCTTGTTTTGACAAAGATTTCTCCATGAAGAAATGGAGAACAGGAACAAGTTGTGATAAGCTGGTTGCAGAGTATAGTTTTCATACTTCCCTTGGTGCTACCAACACCAACTATCTGTTTGAAGAATTCTCCAAACACACTCAGATTCAGTAATTTGCTAGAAAGACTCACAAAGAGATTGGATCCAATGAAACGAACAAAGAAAAAGGTACAGATGATGTAGCCCAGATTCTGAGAGACAGAGAAAGGGCACTTGGGTCGATGTGCTCTCTGCTGATGGTTGTCTCTAAATTCTTCTATGTTCTTCCAACCAGCAGATTAAATTTAAGACACTTTGAATGAATTTCTACAAGCTGCAACTAAAGATCCATTCCTCTAATAACCTTGATACTTCTGATAATGGAGGCAGGTGGCTCCTATGACTGAGGCTGAGAGGATAAAGACTGGGGAAGTGCTGTAGCTTGGGAGTGGGCACTATTGACCATGCAATTTAGAGGGAAATCATGTAGTTTTGAAGTGTCATAAGAAAAGAAGAGGAAATGGCCCATAAAATAAAAGGGCACAGGCAAATGATAGCCTCATCTGCTCCGATGTTAACACTCAGCTCATCCCTGAGTGATGTATCACCACAGAGAACAAAGTAGTCTAGAATAATATAGTCTTTTGAGGATATAAATGCTCCTATCACATTGTGTAGACTGGAACCCAGACTTCATATTTTATGAACTCTGTGATTTTGGGTACATGAATTACTGTATGTTTTTTCTATGTAATGGACCCGTCAAGAAAGAGTTCCCATGATTACATTAATAGGTTGTAAAAGAGTTGGTTTGGTGGCACACATCGTGTCATGGCTTATATCTGGATGGCCCCCCTCAAGTTTCATGTGCTCATGGGTGGATATTTTGGAAGGTAACTGGATTGTCAGTGTGTGATAATGAATTATGTGTGTGATTGCTGGATTAACCATGGTGCAGGTAATGAAAGGCCCACACTGGTAGTGTGTGGCATGGACCAGTGGACTTGTAGCCTGGATGGAATATAAAGATGAAGGAGGTTTGCTGCTTGCTTTCTACCAGCCCTGCTACAAACTGTTCATCCTCGTCCTGTCCCTCTGCCACACAACTCTTTTTGGTGCCAGCAAGACTGGCACCAACTGAAACCTCTATCAAATATGGGCTAAAATAAACTTTTCCTACCTCATATGTGTCAGGTATTTTGTTCCAGAAATACAAAATTAATTAACGCACACCTGTAACCCCAGGATGACGCCCTGGCCAGCCTGGGCACCTTAGCCAAATTCTGTCTCAAAATAAAATAAAAGGGGTTGAGGAACGTATCAGTGCCCCCCAGATTCAATCCCCAGTGCAAACCCCCACCCTGCACATAGTGGTACAAAACATCTTCAGCAAGTCTTTTACTTAATGGTAAAATTGTTAGGTACTATTTTTTTACTTTATTTTAAAGAGAACAAAAACACAGAAAAGAAAAAAAAACAAGAGACATATGGATAACTACAAGAACAACAAAAAACTCAAAACAATAACAATACAGGCTTGCAGAAACAATTTAACAATACTTGTAATACTTCATATTTTTATCTTCAAAAAAGTTGCTTAGATTATCAGATATAGACATGTAAAATTAATATAGTTATATGAGTACTAATTGTTCTTTTCTAAGAATGAATAGAATTAGTAGTATAATCACCTTAGCTATTTCATGTATATATATATATATATACAATTTTATCTTTTTCCTTTTCACTTCCTTCTTTTCTCATTTCCCTATCCCAGTTATTTTTCTCCTTTGAGGAGTTTTCTACCCTTTCAGAATATCTATTGTACATGTTGGATCTTATTTACTCTTTCAGTTTCTTATACTATGGAGACAATGTGTTATTTACACATATGAGTTGGATTTATTTCACCTATAAGTGTGGTCTCAAGTCTCATCCATTTACCTATAAAAGCCCCAATGTGATCCTTCTTTATAATTCAGTAGTTCTCCATTGTATAAAAATATCATATCTTTTTTATTCATTCCTCACTTAATGGGCATTTGGGTTGTTTCCAAGATTTAGCTGTTATAGGTTGTACTACTATAAACATGAGTGCACATATGTCACTGTGGTGTGATGTTTTCAATTTTCCTGGAAAATGCTCAGAAGAAGGATAGCTGGGTCAACTGGAACCTCTAATTCTAGCTTTTTGAGAACCTCCACATTGATTTCCACAGTAACCACCGCGGAAAAGTGTACTTTTTACCCCACAGCCTTTCCAGCATTTGTTATTGGTGGTATTCTTGATCTTAGCCATTGTTTCTAGAGTGAGATAAAATCTCAGTGATGTTTTAATTTGCATTTCTTTAATGACCAACAATGTGAAACTTTTTTTATATATTTATTTGCCAATTGTATTTTTTCACCTGAGAAGTGTGTATTCATCTCAGATGCCCATATTTGGATTGCGTTTTTGGATTTGGGTTGCCTGATTTTTTAAATTATTTTTTCTCTACATTTAATTTATTTTCCTATTTTAGTGTAGTAGATAGCTTTCATATTGCTGCATGCAAACCCTCAACCACAGGTTGCAGAAAGAGGGGTTTATTTGGCTCCATTTTATTTTTTATTTAAGAGGAAATAAGACACAGAAAAGAAAAATAGCAAGAGACGAACAAACAACAACAAACCCAAAACAATAAGAGTAGAGGCTTACAAAGAAAGGTGATAGGAATTTAACAATCATTGTAATATTGCATATTGTTACCTTCAAAAGGATTGCTCAGATTCCCAAATACAGACATATAAAATTGATCTAATCATATGAGTATTTAACTGTTCTTTTCTAAGAATTAATGCAGTTAATAGTATAGTCATTTTTCCTATCTTATGTATGACTTTTTCTTTTTCCCTTCTTTCTTTCCTCCTTTTCTCCTATCTCAGTTACTTTTTCTCTTGGTATAGTTTCTTAGCCTTACACAGTATTTATTGCAGATTTTGGATCATATTTGCTCTTTCAGTTTCTTACACTAGGGAGACAATATGGAATTTACACATTTGAGATTGATTTATTTCACTTATGAGTATGACCTCAAGTTGCATCTATTTACTTATAAAAACCTTGATGTGATCCTTCTTTTTTTCTTTAAAGTGAATAAAACAAAAGAGAACAGAATAAAGCAAATAATAACAAAACAATGCAAGCAACACAGCACTTCATGACAAGGCAACTGAATATCAACAGTAGCTACCATAATGTCTCTTTTCACTGAAATAGTTGAGCATACCTTCACACAATAGTATCAAACGTAACAAAATAGTAGAAAACCATTCAAGAGAATGAAAGTATTACAGGACATTCAAAACCAAATAATCAGTAATGAACAACAGCTACTATAATATCTAATTCTCCTTAAAAGTTTGTTTATACTATCACACATATTAAAATCCAATAAGACACATGATAGAACAAATGGAAACAGAAGAACAAAAGCATAGTAAAACTTCAAAGCAAGATGATATTAAATCAGCAATGGCTGCCTAATGTCTTGTTTTCTTCAAGTAGCTGTTTATATCATCATACATAATAATATCAAACAAAACAAGGAAACCATTCCAACCAATGAGTGAAAATATTACTAGACTTCAAAGCAATATAATGAGGAGCAATGATTACCATAAAATCTTATGTACTCTTACCATTTCTTACACTAGGGAGACTATACAGTATTTATGCATGTGAGTTTGTTTTATTTCACTTGTGAGTATGATATCAAGTTACATCCATTTATTTATAAATATCTCAATGTGGTCATTCTTTATAGCTGAGTAGTACTCCATTATATAAAAATGCCATAACTTTTTTACCTGTTCCTCAGTTGATTGACACTTAGGTTGTTTCCAAGATCTGGCTATTACAAATTGTGCTGCTATAAACATGGGTGCACATATATCACTGTGGTATAATATTTTCAGTTCTTCTGGGAGTATGTCCAGAACTGGAATAGCAGGGTCAAATGGGACTTC